CTCCTCCTCCCCCTGCCCCCCTCTGCGCGTGGACGAGTCCCGCCACGGGGTCCAGGACCGCCCTCCGGGCGGGGCGGCATCGGGGGGCTGGCCAAACAGTCCGGCGCACAGGTGGGCCACGCGCAGGGCACGTCCACACACCATCACCCCTCCGGCCAGGGCCACGGGCCCTGGCATGGTCTGCACGCCCTCCTGGCCGAGGCAGCTCCTCCCTCATCCTCCTCCTCCTCCTCCTCCTCCTCCTCCCTCCCCCTCCTCCCCCTCCCTCCCTCCTCCTCCTCCTCTCCTCCCCCCTCTTCCTCCCTCCGTCTCCTCCTCCTCCTCCTCCACCTCCTCCTCCTCCTCCTCCTCCTCCTTCTCCTTCTCCTCATGGAGCGCCAGACTTCTCACCCGTGGGCACGGTGCGTTGCAACTGCCACGTGCCACGACGAAAGGGATCGAGGATCGAGGAGTGTCGGGGATCGAGGAGGGTCGAGGGTCGAGGGTCGAGGATCGGGGGGGATGGAGGATCGAGGAGGGTCGAAGATCGGCACTGCCACGTGCCACGACGAAAGCACCCTCCTCCCTCCCCAACCTCTTGCGGTCAGCACGCCGACGGACAGAATAGTAAGGACGCACGATAAGGATGCAAGGGCCTTGGAATGCCATGTCGACAATCTGCGAGCAAGGCGCGGCCAGCGAAAGCGGCCAAGGATGGACCGCAGGGGAAGGAAGCAAGGGTAGCCTTGGAAAGTCGCTCATCCTTACTTTGCGGGTTGACCGTATACCACGTGCCACGACGAAATGACCCAACCTCTTGCGGCCAGCACGCCAACGGCCAGAGACATCTCCAAGACCCCTCCTCAGGCCAGGTGGAGTGGAGCCGAGGAAGGAAGGAAGGAAAGGAGAGGAGAGGAGAGGAGAGGAGAGGAGAGGAGAGGAGAGGGCCCGCGCGGATCTTCGGTTGCTCGGCGCTGGACCCCCTCCCCTGGCGAGTTCCGCACGCCATGGGAAGGGGGGCCCACGGTAGACCCACGCAGTCCGCGCGGACGCTGGAACGTCTTGCTCTGCTCGCGCCAGTCTTGTCGATGGGCGCCCCTGCCGGGAGCGACCAAGAGGGGGGCGGGGACGGGGGGGGGGGGGAATGGCCAGAGGCACGTGCGCGGACCAAGGGTTGGCCAGCGAACGCTCTGAACGAGAGGGGTGGCCATGAAATCTGGGCCATACCATGGCTCTAGCCATGATGTCCACACAAGGCGGAGGAGAAGGAGGAGGAGGAGGAGGAGGAGGAGGAGGAGCAGGAGGTGGAGGTGGAGGAGGGGGAGGAGGAGGAGGAGGAGGAGGACGAGGAGGAGGAAGAGGAGCAGGAGGAGAAGGAGGAGGAGGAGGAGCAGGAGGTGGAGGTGGAGGTGGAGGAGGAGGAGGGAGGAGGAGGAGGAGCAGGAGGAGGAGATGGAGGAGGGGGAGGAGGAGGAGGAGGAGGAGGAGAGGAGGAGGAGGAGGAGCAGCAGCAGGAGGTGGAGGTGGAGGAGGGGAGGGGGAGGAGGGGAGGAGGAGGAGGAGGAGGAGAGGAGGAGAGAGAAGGAGGAGGAGGAGGAGGAGGAGGAAGAGGAGGAGGAGGAGGAGGAGGAGGAGGAGGAGGAGGACGGGTCGCCTGACCATGCCATGGCTCTGGCCATGATGTCCACACAAGGAGGAGGAGGAGGAGGAGGAGGAGGAGGAGGAGCCCTCAATCCTCGCCCCCCTCTTTGGACGCCCCCGATCTCGAGGGCACGCCGAGGCCCCTGCCCCCGGGGATCGGCCCCGCCGGGATCGGGAGCGTGCGGTTGGCGGGCGCTCCCCCCCGGGGAGGAGGAGGGGCGAGCCTGGGGAGGGTGCCGCGGGGGGGAGCTGGCACGCGCGTCGGGAGAGAAAGGAGCAGGAGGAGCGGGAGGAGCAGTCAGAGAAGAATGCGGGGATGAGGCGGGGCGAGAGGAGTGAGAGAGAGTGAGGAGGAGGAGGCGGAGCAAGAGGAGCAAGAAGAGTAGGGGGAGCAAGAGCAGCAAGGGGAGCGAGAGGAGCGAGAGGATTCAGAGGGGCAAAAGGAGTAAGAGAAGTAAGAGAAGTAAGAAGAGTAAGAGTGAGAGGAGGGAGGAACTAGGGGGATAATGAAGATGCTGACGAGGACGGGAAAGCAAACGAGGAGAAAGTAGAGGACGACATGACTGGCCGCACCAGTAAGCGCCAGCAGGGGCGTGTGAGCCGAAGAGATGGGAGTCGGGGAGGGCAGTGTGTTGGCGCTGTGCACAGAGGGATTGCGCGAAGGCGGCGTTCTTGTAAGAGGGCGGGGGGCTTCTGAAACGACAGGGGCCTCGTAGAAATGCTTGGGGACTTCTGAGAAGCCTTCTGAGCAGCTTCTTGGCCCTTCCTGCAAAGGCCCATGCTTTTGCACAAACCCCCCGCCTGCTCGGATGGCAGGCACCCTCGCGCCACTTCCCTGTGCGTGGCACCGAGACAGCACGGCTGGCTCAGTCGATCTTGATGGAGCCATAGATGATCCACACGAAGAAGAACGACGCGCTGAAGCCGATTGCTCCCGTCAGCAGTGCGAACGTGTACGAGATCGTGAACATGTACCCGAAATAGAGCATCGCCCCCACGTAGTGCCCGATCTGCAGCCGCGTGCTGTAGTACAGGCACGAGTCCGCCACCGTGCCGTGGACACCGAGCGGAATGGCATATCGAAGCCCCCATGGGGCTCTCTGCAGTGACTGAGCTTGGGAAATACATGCACCGCGGGTACGTGTCGTGTCGATCCCAGCGTTGGTTCCTGACACCGCGGGGATAGTTCCACCTTGAACGATCGGCCGCTTCCGAAACGTTCAACATCGATCGATTCTGGGCCGCCGCCGGCAACGCCAGCGGCGGGGTCGCCGCTGGTCGGCACGACGCGAACCTGCCGTAAGGGGCCCAGACCTCAGACGTCCGGGATTATGGCGCGCTCCTGGACGCTGGACACTCTTGGGCGCTCTAATTTCTAATGTCCTTGGGTCATGCGTTTGCCCGAGGCCTCGGGGGCGTCGCTGGGGGTCCATCCATCTCACGTGCCCAAAGATGGCCCCATGGGACCTCCAGGGCATTTCTGGAGCTTCTAGGGGTCTGCACGGTTTCCCCTGGGGGCGTAGGCGATTCGAGGAGGCATAGGAGGAGGAGGAGGAGGAGGAGGAGAAGAAGGAGAAGGAGGAGGAGGAGGTGGGGGAGGGAGAGGGGGAGGAGGAGATGGAGGAGGAGGAGGAGGAGGAGGAGGAGGAGAAGGAGGAGGAGGAGGAGGACATGGAGGAGGGAGGAGGAGAGGAGGAGGAGGAGAAGGAGGGAGGAGGAGGAGAGGAGGACATGGAGGAGGAGGAGAAAGGAGGAGGAGGAGAAGGAGGCGGAGGAGCAGGAGGAGGAGGTGGAGGAGGAGGGGGAGGAGGAACACGACGGGTCGCCTAAGCCCTTCGGAGAAGCCCTCCATGGGGGTCGGCCCAAGAAGCGAAAGCTGCTCAGAAGCCATGATGTTTTCGCAGATTCGCCTGCGCGGCCTTGACGGCGTCCAAGCCGACCCAAGAGGACCCCAAGAATTGCTCCAAGACGGCCGCCAAGCCCCCAAAGAAGGGCAGCAAAAAAAGTCGCCAAGAGGGCTCCGAGCCAAGAGTGGCCCGAGAGGCGAAACTCGAAGGGGGTCTGCGGGGCCCTCCGTCCCAAAATGGCATCCTCCTCCTCCTCCTCCTCCTCCTCCTCCTCCTCCTCCTCCTCCTCCTCCTCCCCCTCCTTCCCCTCCTCCTCCTCCTCCTCCTCCTTCTCCCCCACCCTGGCCCGAGAGGCCCCCGGAAAGAGGCCCCCCAGAGGCTGCCCAGACGCCACACAAGAGGCCCGAGCGAGGCCTGGCGAGAGTCTCCAGGAGGCCGTCCAGAAGACCCCAAGACGCCTCCAAGAACGCTGCTCCGCGACCCCGGCACGGATGCGGGAGGGGCCGAAGGCCGCAAGATACAAAAACACGTAGATGGACGACGATGCGCTGGCAAAGAACGATCGCCACCACCAATTGTAGTCCTCGTTCGTGAGCTGAAAATACGTCAGGGTGATTGATATCTCAGCGCAGGTCACCATCAAAATGATGATCACCAGCGTCAGGAAACCGAAGAGGTAGTAGAACTGGTGCTGCCAAATGGAAGACATGATGAAGAAGAGCTCCGTGAACACCGCGCCGAACGGAAGGATGCCGCCCACGAGCGAGGAGAAGAGCCCGCTAATGTACCACGGCTGTGCGGGCACCTGCCGCGGAATCTGGTTGGTGCGCACCGGCAAAGAGATCGGCGCCTTCTTGTACCCGAAGAACGCGCCAAGAAAGACCAGCGGCACGGAGATGCCAAACCACAGCACGAGCAGCGCAAACATCGTGGTGAAAGGTACTGCTCCCGACGACTTGGTGCCCCAGATGAACAAGTTCAGAAAAAAGAATATCCCGAACACAGTTCCAGGGTAGACGAAGGCCGTCAACAGCGTCGTTTTCTTCCAGTCCTCGCCCTTCCACATCTTGTAGAAGCGGGCGGATACGTACCCCGCGATGATCCCCGCGAACGTGAACAGCAGCAGCAGGCCCTGCAGGATGGAGCCTCGGTGCACTGGCGACAGGAGGCCGGCAGCGGAGAAGACCAGGGTGACGCCGGCGCAGACCAGCAGCTGTATGCCCGAGCCAACGGACACGGCGAGCGCCTTCGAGTGGGGAGGTTTTCGGAAAACGTCCCCGTGCACCAGCTTCCAGCCCGTCTCCTCGGCAGTGTCCTCCGAGGACATGTCGTTGTACTTGGCGATGTCGCGGTGCAAGGTGCGCAGGAGAATCATGGCCACCATGCCAGATCCGCCAGCACCCCCGTGGGGCCCCATCCAGGTTGTCAGCAGTCACGTTGGATTGGATTCAGCTTTGTTACTGTTCCTCTGGTGTTGGCGATTTGATACAATAAGCGTGTCCTGGCCAACCTCTGTGTGTATGAGCAACGTACGGAGTGCAATTAAATATAACACTTTGACACTTTGAAAACGTCAGCTCCAATGTTCGAGCCAACATCCCACCCACCCGCCCGCGACTCGTCGGCAAGACGGGACTTGTTCGTAAATCCCAACGGGCGCAACGACGTGCGGACCCTCCCGTGCAGGTTCGTGACTCGGGAGAGCGACTGATAACGCTACTTCGTGGAGGGGGTATCTGACATGAATCCGCTCTGAACCCGCTTGACCTACATATGCCCCTGGCGAACTCCCGTCTGCAATGCTTGGCGAGCCCCTGGTCTCTGACTGATCTCAGCGTGCGCGCGCCGGGGGGCACGCGCGCGCGGCTCTGGCGTGGTGTGACTCGACTAGGCTGGCGAAGAAAACCGAAAACCCCTCATTGCAACTGGAAGTACAGGGGGGGCCCGACCACAAGGAACCTTCCGCAAGAAACCCAACCCTGAGACCACAGGACGTACCTCGATTTCTGGCGTGGGAGCGTCACGCTTTCAGAAACCCAAGAAACCCAGAGCACCCTGCAGGCAAGCAGGGTGTTTCTTGGTGTGGTTCGGCTGGGCTGGCGAAGAAAACCGAAAACTCCTCAGTGCAACCGGTAGTAGACCGTTCTGAATTCATGTCGCCTTTCGGGGAACGAAGAAGGACACAAACACAAAAACTCGGAGGTGCGCGCGGATTCCTCGGATCCGCGCTGGACCCCCCTCCCTGGCGCCCAGGGGTGACGCGGCTCCGCCAAAGGGGCCCAGCGCGGATCCGAGAAATCTGCGCTAGGCCTCCGAGTTTCCATGATTATGTCATTCTTCGTTCCCCTAGACTCCTCCTCGGCCTCCTCCTCCTCCTCCTCCTCCGCCTCCTCCTCTCCCTCCGCCTCGGCTCCTCCTCCTCCTCCTCCTCCTCCTCCTCCTCCTCCTCCTCCTCCTCCTCCTCCGTTCGTTCCTCGGTCCTTCTTCGTCCCCCCCCCCAGCCTTGCGCGCCCGCGGGCACCCGCGGGTGGCCTTGCGCACGGTTTTCCGCGGAGAGGCGCCCAGGCTCCAAGCACCCGGCGGAGGGCCCAGCCGTACGCAATTGTGGGCACCGCGGCTCAGCAGGTCGCCTTCGGCGGAGCTTCCTGCGGGGGCGCGAAACGTGTGAGGGGCGTGCCGAAACGGGAGAGGAGCCGCATGCGAACCCTGCCACGAGGGCCTCCGGTGGAGCTCCCCATGGGGTCACGAAACACGTGGGGGGTGTGCCGAGATTGGAGGGGAGCCGCACGCGAACCCTGTCGCTGAGACCTGCGGTGGAGCTGCCTAAGAGGAGACGAAACGTGTGAGGGGTGTGCCAAGATGGGCGGGGAACCGCATGCGAACCCTGCAATGGGGGCTTCGGTGGAGCTCCCTTTGGGGCCACGAAAAGGGTGAGTGATGTGCCAACATTGCCAGGCGGAGAGCGGGGCACGGATGGGAGGAGGGGGGAGGGCAGCGGGAGGGAAGGAAACAGACGCGGGGCGCTAACACATGAAGGAAAAGACGACACTGGCCTCATTGGGATGGTATTATCTCGCATGCAAGACGAGCGATCGACACTAACCAAAAAGCAATGTGCGGAGGATAACCTGTAAAACTAGCTTCGGCATGGGTAGAGTCTAATCTTGTTTATGAGAAGGTCGATGCAGCACAATAAACCCTGAGCCCACGTGCGCGACCAACTCCCACGCTTTTTCAAACATCCCACCCACCCGCCCGCCGCCTATTGGCAAACCTCAATACGCAATCTCAACAGCCCTCTGTGTAGGTGGTTTCATCAGCTAGACTTTCCAACCTCCTCTTTCCCTTCGGGGAAAGGTTTATCACTGTTCCCTATCAATATGCACCACACTCCCCAGGCGACCGGCAGCCAACCAGGAACCATGCCCACCCCCTCCACACCATCCCTGTAAAGCACAATTCGCCGGCCCAACGGGCCAGAGGCGTGCTAAGATCCCCGGTACCTACTTAACAATGTTTATAGTTCGCGCGCGCGGGGCGACCCCTGGGGGGCCCCGGACGAAAAGTACCCCAGCCGATCCCGGGCTGACCCCCGGGCGATCCCCAGGGGGGAGGCTATTTTTCGCCACCCCTCACGAGGATCGTGGCCTCCGAGGGGGGGCTGCCAACGACTACCCCCCCTCCCGCCCCAAGGGGCCCCCAAGAGCCCCCGGAGAGGCCCCAGGGGAGCCCAATACGCCGCCAAGGAGCCCCAAGACGCTCCCAAAAAGCCCCCAAGAAGCCCCCAAGACGGCCCCAAGAGGCCGCAAATAGCGTTCCAGGGCCGGCGAAATGAGCGAAGCGATTAAATAATACTAAACGCACTCTGCCTCCAAATTCGGAGTATGCGTATCCAACCACATGCGGCCCCCCCCACCATCCCTGTCCAAAAACAATGCAAAATACACTTTTGGCCAAAGTCTGGAGTCATGTTCGTGAGGCCCGCGAGAACTTTGTGTTGTTTGATATGAACGGCGGGGGTATCAGCGTAGCGCCTGCTGCGCGCAGGGCTACCATCCCTGACAAAACACAATACAAAATGCACCTCGCGGCTAAATCTGCATCATGCGCGGCCTCTCCGCGATCATTGTCAAGAGGTTTTTGACAGGCACGGCGGGGAAGGTGGCGCATGGCCTGCTATGCGCAGGCCTACCAGTCACGTGCGCACGCCCACCTGACACACTCGGCACGTGCCCCGAACGTGACACACCTGGCGCGGCTGGAGTGTGCAGCACACCTGGAGCACGCGAAGGCACGTGGCGCATCTGGCGCACCAGGCGTGCCTGGCACGCTCGGGCCCCAGAGGTGCCTGGCGCGCGTGGCGCGCCTGGCACGCGTGGCGCACGTCGCTCAAGCGTCGCGCACCTGGGCTCGGCCTTGGTTCCCAGTAGCTGTCCCTCCAAAGACGACCGCTGAACATGCTGAGGCTCGGGTATTATTCATGTGTCGGGAGGGCGGGTGGGAGTGAGCTAGACGGCTTTCTATCTGGAGGCTGTTTTGATCACTGATCCTTATTGGTATACACCCCCTCCCCCACCTGGCCGGCGGCCAACCCGGAACCATGCCGACTCCATGCGGGCCCGCCCCCCACTTTCCCTGTCAAAAAATGCAAACCGCACTCTGCCCCCACATTTGGAGCATGCGCGGCCAACCCGACGCGGCCCCCCACCATCCCTGTCAAAAAATGCAAAGTACACTTTGGGGCAAAGAATTGAGTCATGCTCGTGGGGCCCTCGGGCACTTTGAATTGTTTTTGGCAAGGACGGCGGGGGTGTCAGTTCCCTGCTGTGGGCAGGGCTACCATCCCTAACAAACACCATACAGCACACACCTCGCGGCTAAATCTGCATCATGCGCGGCCATCCCGCGATCGCTGTCAAGTGGTTTTTGACAAGGGTTACGGGGGTGGTGGCGCGTGGCCTGCTGTGCGCAGGCCCACATGACACAATGAAGGGCACTGGTTTTTAACAAGGATGGCGGGGGATGACATGTTTCCCGATGTGCGATGTCACGTGCGCTGGCGCACCTGACGCACTTTGCACGTGCCCCGAACGTGGCGCACCTGGCGCGGCTGGAATGTGCGCCACCCCTGGCGCACTCGGAGCACGTGGCGCATCTGGCGCACCAGGCGTGCCTGGCACGCTCGGGCCCCAGGGGTGCCTGGCGCGAGTGGCGCCCCTGGCACGCGTGGCGCACTTCGCTCAAGCGTCGCGCACCTGGGATCGGCCTCGGTTCCCAGTAGCTGCCCCTCCAAAAGACGACCGCTGAACATGCTGAGGCTCGGGTGTGATTTATGTGTTGGGAGGGCGGACGGGAGTGAGCCAGATGGCTTGCGGGCGGGTGGGTAGATTGACCTCTCCCCCATTCCCCCTCCCCAATGAGTCTGCACGGGGCCGGTCACGAGTCGCTCGAGCGTCCCAGATCTCCCGAGCTGGCTCCAAGAGGGCCGAAGATAGTCCAAGCTGGCCTCCATGACTGCATAAGGTAGCCCCAGGTGGATCACGATAGCTCCCAACATGCCTCCAAGAGGCGCCATGATCGTCCCGAGACGGCTCCGAGTGGCCACGGAGCCTGCCAAGGACCCCACGAAAGGCCAACAAGCAAGCAAGCAAGAGACTGCGTGCACAAAAACGGCACCCTAGCACGGGAAAAAATCAAACGCCGTTATGGCAACTCTCCCTCACAACGGCTTTCCACTCACTCTGTGGCCTGTGGCTCAGCAGTGTGTTGAGCCTCTCTTCATTGCCAGCAGCTGCAAGCGCGTGCTTGAAAACACCTTTCGCCCAACTAATTTTGGGTCGGCCGCGGCGCCTTTGGCCCGCCGGCTCTCTACGCTGAAATGACAAACACTCGGGGTCGAAAACGCTTTGCCTCACTACGTCGGTCGCGCGTCGCCTGGCCAGCGCCCCCATGAACTCGAGCTGCCTCTCCAACAGTATGCTGCTCATACGCTGAGCACCCGCTTGCTGTAGAATCGAGGCGCTGGGCAAATGGCTGTAATATGGAACAGTATATTCATGATTATTCCCAAGCACCTGTTCTGTAACCCATCGATCTTCCGGGTCTCCGCGGAGGCAGCCACAGCGAGCGCAGGTTGCACAGAAGCTCACTGACAACGCAAGCGCTGAAAATCTCAAGCTTTCTAGCGCGAGAAATTCCAAAGTGGGGCCAGATGCGGCGTAGTTGATCAAATTATTCCCGCGCAGCTCCACTTCGGCGATCGAGCTCTGATCCGGGCGCCCCGTCAGATGTGATCGCGCAGCCCAGGTAAACAATTTTACCTCTCGGTTGGACTGCATCGCCTGTCGGCGCAAGGATGCTAGCGACGCCCGCGGAGGAGACGAGCTCCAACTTCTTCCAGTTGAAACTCAAGCCGTAGAAGCTGCCCGCTCGTCGCACGCAGCGCACGCACTTCTGCACGCTGCCGACGTCAACGTCGATCAGAAGAGTGTCGCCTGCATAAAGGATCTCATTGGCATACGTATCGGTAGAAAGGTGCGTCCCAGATGCTTCCAGGAGCTCCTTGGCGTCGGCGATGAGGACCGCCATGGCCCTGCCGAAGAGGTAGGGGGGACAGCGGGCAACCCTGGCAGATTCCGTAGCGTTGCCTCCTGTGGCCCGATGGCCTGCCAGCGTCAGATACGAAGAAGCAGCGATTCGCGTAGACCGCCTCGATGCACCGCGGGAATTTGGCTGGCAGGCAAATCTCTTCAACGACTGACATAATCCCTCTGGCGCGATCGAATCAAAAACCTTGGCCCAATCGAGGGCTAGAAGCACCAACCGCTTATCCCGCATTGCATTCGCCTCCTCAACGATCCTGCGGACGAGGAAGACCGCGTCGAGGGCGCCACGACCAGGGCGAAAACCAAATTGGGTGTCCCAAATGCGCTCGTTAGCACCAGCTTTGATGAACCGCTGCAATAAAATCGATGCAAACAGCAAACAGCTTGTACCCAATCTGTAAAAATGTAATAGGCCTATACTTCCCACAATCGACAACATCACCCTTCTTGCAAATATGGCGACACGCGCCTCGCGCCATTTCTGCGGCACTGCTCCGCGCGACCAACTTTTCCAACAAAGTTCCAAGTTCCAATGCCCACTGGCACGCTTTACTTCCCCCTTACAAATCTGCTTCCAAAATTCTGGGGGCAGGTCGTCGCTCCCGGCTGCTTTGCGGACCATGAGCTTCGCCGCCGCCGTCACCATCTCGCCCCCAGAAATGTCGCGCAAGTCGACGTCAAGCTCGGGCCCCAAACACGAGTCGCCCATACGCGGCTCCAAAGGCCGCACTGACCATTGAGCCTTCTCCAAGTACTCGGCCAGCGCGTCTGCCCGCTCCTCTGAACTGACAAGACGACTTTGCATATCCTTCAACCGCCCTTGTCTGTGGCGCACGCCTTTGCGGAGATATTTGCCTTGGTCCCACGGCCCTTTTCCAACAGGGATGCGAGCCATTGATCCTTATCTGTCTTGACAGACCATTTTACCTCACGGTTCAAAGCTCGCTCACGAGGCAAATTGCCACTGCGTCTCGCCTCCGACCTGCTGTCGACTAGCCCCAGCGCGCGTCCGCTGATCCACGAACGGCGAGTGGTGGCCTGCGCGGCGGGCAACGTCTCTTCAGCAGCGTGGAGCATACATGTCGTAATACGCGAAGTGAGCCAATCGAGATCCTCCAGGTCCGCGTCGCGATCCCCCCCATTCTCATCCGTCTCCATCAGATGCTCAAAACGCGAGCGGAAAGCGGGCGCAACCTCCTTGCCGCTGACGCTGCTCGCGTCGGGCCCGGGGTCTCGAGTCCGCTGCGCTCTTCGCCAATGCAATGTCCAGCTCTGCAGTGACAAGGAAATTGCGCGAAGGAAGGGCCAAGTGCTTATGAGAGCTCACCGCGCGCGCCAAGCGAAGGCTACCCTGCGGAACGAGCACAAAGTCCAGCTGCCCAAAATGCTCGAAGTCTAATGCGGCATGCGGGCGCGACCCCACGTTGTAGCATGCAACTTGGCTCTCCGGCGCCGATGCGAAGAACGCGTTGCCCACGGCCAGCGTCGAAGTAGCGCAAAGCTCCATCAGCAGACTTCGATTCGAATCGGCGCTGCGCGCTGCCATCGGGCCGCCAAAAACACGCCCACAGCATAACGTTTTCTCCGCCAGGCTGTCGCACGCGAAGTCTAGCATTGAAATCTCAAAGCGCCACCTTCGGGCCAGTCCCACTGGCAGAAAAAATAAAGTTGGACAGGTCGGAACGGAAATTAGATCGTTCTTCGCGCGGCTTGCCGTCGCGCGGGGCATAAACGGAGAACACTGGAACTTTGCCGCCAGGCACCCTTAACTGCAACGACGCCATCCTCGAGCTCTTCTGACAGAACCCAATGACACTGCGACGCAAGTGCGGGGCAACCAGGAAGCCAACCCCAGCTGTTTCAACCGTGTCTGTCCCAGACGGGCCTGAAATTATCGCCAAAAATCCACCGTCTGTTGTGAATACGTCTGATTTCGTCATGCGAGTCTCCTGAAGACATCAAATCAACCCCCATGCCTGTCATATACTGCTGTAGCGCAATAAGCTTCTCGTCTGTGAAACCCTCGATCATCCAAGCTCCGGCGACAAATCGGTCGTAACGCACCGCCTCTGAAAAATTCAGCCTCGTAGCGCTGGCTGTCATTCACTATGCATTGGTTCCCCCGTAGCCGATCTCGGGATGAAACATCATAACTTCCCATACTAATGTGCCCAATGCCCTAACGGGCCTTCTCCTTAGCACCCTTGCCCGCGTTCGCCGGGGTGCCTCTCATGCCGCCCTTCATGCCGTTGGAGGCCTTCTTGACAAGGTCATTGAACTCCCGATGTAACTCTTTGATCTGCGGGCTCTCGTGAAGCCCCCCCATTCAGCCCACCCACCATGCACCTCCTGCACCACCTTGTCTGGAAACATGCGCGCCGCCACCGCCCCCCCCCCCCCCCTCAACTTCCACTGTATAGAGGGGCCTCGCCGCTCACCGACACCTTGTAGGGGACGCCCCACTCCTCTGTCAGCACGCGTTTAAATCCAATGCAAAAGTTCCTGGCGGCCCTCTCCAAAATGGGGCGGCCCTGGTTGGCCCAACTGGTCTTCCCCCCCGAGTTCAACCCAGCCTTTTTTTCAGAATGCCGACAGCTGCACCCCGCTGGCCCGAATCCTGAAATTCTGCGAACATCACTCCGCCGACGCCCCCCGTCGTGTAAATATTGGACGGGCTTGGACATTCTAGCGATGAGAGTTTGTCCTGAAGCCACCTGCTGGCTGCGTCCAGGGAGTCGAGAGAGTCGAGGTTTCCCACTATTGCTGCGATGTTGCGTCTATCTCCCAGCCCCCCGCCCGTCGTGCGGTTTAAGCCTTCTGGGAGGGCGCGTGGAGGGTGCCAGCCTTGTCCGAAATCTGCTTGACGAGGTTCTCCAACTTTTCGATTCTGATCTCGGTTACGTTGAGGCGCTTCTCGACAGAATTGAGGCGAAACTCCCGTCCATGAGGCTGGTCAGCCGCAAGTCGAGGTTGCCGAAGCCGTTCTGGAGTTCCTGTATTGCCTTACACATTGGGGCCATCTCTTTGCGTAGAAAGCCCGCGATACCCTTCATGGCGACATGTTCCGCCCCTCCTGCTGGGCGTCGTCCTCCACACCGTCGAAGATCAAGTGTTCGACTGGTTCTGAAACGCGGCCGTCTCCATCCTCCTGATCGCCCTCCATCTTCTGATCACCATCCTTCGGAAGAAGGGGTGAGAGAAAGGAGAATACGCAGGCGAGTGCTTGATGCGCTGTTTCTTCAGGAACGGGTTATTCAACAACTTGCCCACAGGCGTGCCTGGTGCTCGGGACAACGACGCAGCGAATGCATCCGAGCCCGATTCATCCTCCCACTGCGGAGAGGAAATGGCATGCGTCATGACATGTGTCTCCGACATAGCGGCATCGTGGAGGTAGGGGTATGGGAATGGATAAGTAAAAAATCGTTGGATAGGTTGATTGAAGGTAAATTCTGTCCAAAATCTCGGGAGCGCAAGGAGCTTGGCCTTCTCGCCGTTTCGCTCCCCGTTGATCGATGGCCTGCAAGATGGCCCCGAGAGGCCCATCAGGGCCGAGGATGATATTGTTTCAAAGCAATTCATCGCAACACAAACCAGCAGGGCGGCGGCTACGATGAGGAAGCTACGGACGACAATACTGATGACGGCGACGACGATGGATATTGGTGGGAATCGTCATGGTTATGATGGTGAGGGTGATGATGATGATGATGATGATGTGGCGATGATGATGATCACGGTTGTGTGTATGTTTAAAAGTACTGTTCGCATGATGAGGATATTGATGTAGTGATGATGATGACGATGATGGTATTTACGATGATGATCATGACGGTGATGATGGTTGTGATTGCATGTGTGGCTATGGTGACGTTGTATATGATGATGATAGTGATGATGATGACGATGATGATGATAACGATGATGGTGACGATGACGATGACGATTATGACGATCACGGCGACGATGATGGTGATGATGAGGATGATGATAATGGTGATGGTGATGAGAATGACGATGACGATGGTGATGGATGGTGATGGGTGAAAATGGGAATGATGGTGACGGTGATAATACTGGGGACGATGAGCTGCTGCTGCTGATGATGATGGTGGTGATGCTGATGATGATGATGGCAATGTCAAGGCTGGCAATGACAATGGCACTGATGATGGGGTGAAGTGCGCGCACGCGCACTGAAAATCTGATTTGGCTTCATTGAAAATAGCATCAGCTGCAGCACATAATGCAAAACAGCTCCATATCGATCCTAGAACTCTACCACATTCGAGCGCACAATAATCGTGAGATCCCAAACAGGGACACCGCTGGATACGAATGTGTTTCCTGCAGGGAACGATCCTGAAAAGCGACCAACGAATGGCACGTGAAAGTGTGCCCCGCGCACGCTCGAAGGACGTCCTCACGCGGGGCCCGCGGGGCATTCTTCGGTTCTGATCCTTGCAAAACGAGTTTGCTCCATCAGCGCTCGCGCACCGCATGGACCTATTCGACAAAAGCGCCCAGGGGAGGGAGGAGGAAGGGAGGGAGGGAGGGTGGAGGAGGAGGAGGAGGAAAGGGGGGGGGAGGAGGAGGAGGAAGAGGAGGAGGAGGAGAGGTCAGGTGTACAATGTCAGAGCCATAATTCAATCATTGTTGTGTGCGTGTGTATGGTTTTTGTCTATGTTATGTGTTTTTATATTCCGTCCGGCTTTTTTGTGTTTCTGTGTTGTTGTTTTTTTTTGTTTTGTGCGTGTGTGTTTTTTAAAACCTGGAGGAATCTGCCGCGGTCAATCGCCCGGGGGGGCTCGACTGCCGCCCTGGCGCGGATCGCCCCCGCCAGAATTCCTCTGAAGGGGGAGCTTAGGCGGGGGCGTATCCCGCAGGCGCCCCCGCTTGCCTGGGAGAGCGCGGGGGGTCCTGGATCGCCCGGGGGGGGTTCCAGGACGGGCCGAGTCGCCCGGGGGGGGTCGGTCCGAGCGGTGGAATCGCCTGGGGGTGTCTCCGCCGCTCAGTTCCTGCACGAGTCGCCCGGGGTGGCCTCGCGCGGGAACAGCCCTCGCGAATCGCCCAGGGGGGTTCCACGGGGGCGAGGTAACCCGGAGGGCGCCTCAGAGGATAGATTGTGCACGGCGCGAAAGATTCACGCGAATCTTTCGCGGAACTCTCGCGAATTGTTCGCGGGGGGCCCGGACTCTCGCGAATTTTTCGCGGGAGGCGCAACGGTCTGGACAGTCGCGCACGGGGGGGGGGGGCGAAGAACAGAGGAGGGGAGGTCCGATGCCAAAGCCTCGAGGGCCACCTCCGGGGCCAAGCGAATGACGGACAATTGGAGCAGGAAGCGACTATAGAAAAGGGGGGCGAAGGATAAAAGCCGGAGGGGAGCGCGAGCGGCGCACCGAGGAGCAGAAGCGGAGAGAAAGGGAGTTCTCCGGTTGATCACGCCAAGAGGAGGGCGAGGTTGATGACTAGATTATAGCTGACTTTGCACACACAAGAGAGGGAACGAGAGGGAAGGAGAGGCAAGGAGAGGCAAGGAGAGGGAAGAAGGCGCCGGATAACGAGACTGCCCGGGGTGCCTGCGAGGCACGGCCGCGCAGAGCCGACGCGAGAGCGCACTGCGCGGCGGCAGCCAGAACACGAGGAATCTGCGCGCCGCAGACTCTGCCGCGGCGCAGGCGGGGCGCAGGCTCTGCGCAGCACGCCCCCCCCCCCCGGCGCAGCCAGCGCGGCGCACCCGCCCCGAAATTTTCCGCGTCGCCTCCTCCTCCTCCTCCTCCTCCTCCTCCCCCTCCTCCTCCTCCTCCTCCTCCTCCTCACCCTCCTCCTCCTCCTCCTCCTCCTCCTCCTCCTCCTCCTCCTCCTCCTCCTCCTACTCCTGCTCATCTTACTCCTCCCCCTCCTCCTCATCCTCCTCCTCCTCCTCGTCCTCCTCCTCCTCCTCTTCCTTCGATGCTCGAGCCAACACCCCACCCACCAAACCGCAGCTTGTTTGCAGACTGGGCAGGCCACGATTGCAGCTGTCGAAGCCGAGACGTCTCTGCAAATCTCAACCCTGACGCGATGGCGCGCGGGGACCCTTTGCACGCAGATCCGCAGTCCTGGCGGGCGGGCCATGAAGATGTCAGAGGGAGGAAGAGGAGAACGAGGAGGAGGAGGAAGGAGGAGGAGGAAGGAGGAGGAGGAGGGAGAAGGAGGAGGAGGAGGAGGACATCTAAACAAATATACTAGAAACAGTTGTTAAGCTATGCGTTCTTGGAAACCGATAACAGTTTCCATCGAGTTCCGATAAACCAGCGGCGCGCGAGTGACATCGACTTGCGCGCGAGAGGGCGCGCACGCGGGCCGCCCGCACTGTATTTCTTTGACTCAGTTCACGAATCAAACATATAAACGCAGGCTATTGTGAATCAAGCTCACTCCCCAGGAATGTAAGCGGCCCGAGAGGGTTTCCACAGAAGCCTCGAGGGGCCTGCGGTGTCATTCCTTGCTCGCCGCTGCCATTTTTATTTCTCAGGGCCCTTGGCCTTAGTGCTACGCCAGTTGTTCGAGCCGCGCTCACATCCCCGGCGCTGCGCGCCGATCCATATCACAGTGGCAGCTTGGAGCGAGGCCGTTCCGCTATCCCGGCGCTGCGCGCCGTACATACTGCAAGACGGCGTCTGCGACACGTCGTCCTGAATCGAAGCCCAGCGGCTTCCTGACCAGCCTGCTCGCGCTGTTGCTCAGCGCCCTCTCCAGCGTCAGCGACGCTAGCATCATCCACGTCAGCGTCAGCGACGCCGACATCTACGCCTACCCTGCCAACTCCTACGACAGCGTCAGCGACGCCGTCATCCACGCCTACTTCTCCGACAGCGTCAGCGACGCCGTCACTAACGCCTACTTCCCGTACGTCAGCATCAGCGACGCCGACATCAACGCCTAATTCTCCGACAGCGTCAGCGACGCCGTCATCAACGACTACTTCGCCTACTTCTCCCAGGCCAGCGTCAGCGACGCAAGCATCAGTGCCTACTTCTCCTACGGCAGCGTCAGCGACGCCGACATCAACGCCGATTTCTCCAACGCCAGCGTCAGCGACGCCAGCATCTACCCCTATTTCTCCAACGCCAGCGTCAGCGACGCCAGCATCTACGCCTACTTCTCCTACGCCAGCGTCAGCGACGCCAGCATCAACGCCCCCTCTGTCGACGCCAGTGTCAGCGACGCGGCTCACTACCTCATTCTTGACCAAATGACGGATAACTACGCGTACAACACCTACAGCGTTGTGGATCGAGCCCTCCTTTGCAGCCGAGTCCTGACCGAACTGATCTGGATCTTAAGCTCGAGCTGCCTGAACACATAGTATCTGCCGCAGAGCTAATTGACAGGGGGACATGCCAGGAGGACGCGCCGCGGAACGTCTCAAGGGACGCGCCAGGCGACATGCCAGGGGACGTGCCATGGGGACGCACCGCGGGATGTGCCAAGGGGTCGCGGTACGGAACGTGCTGGGGACAAGCGTTTCGCTCGAGACATCCTGTCAAAATTCTCATTCTAGACATCCGCCTGAGCGACCTGGACACGTGAAAACAAACGTTTCGCTCAACACATCCTCAACACATTCTCATGCTAGACATCCGCCTGGGCGAACTGGACACGTGAAAACAAGTAGTTCGCTCGAGACATCCTCAACACATCTTCATGTGAGACGTCCGCCTGGGTGACCTGGGCACGTGAAAATAAGCGTTTCGCTTGCGACGCTTTCAACACCTCCTCATTCTAGACGTCCGCCTTGGCGACCTGTACACGTGAAAGCAAACGTCTCGCTCGAGACATCCTCAACACAGCTTCATGTTAGACATCCGCCTGGGCGACCTGGACACGTGAAAACAAGCGTATCTCTCGAGACATTCTCAACACATCCTCATGCTAGGCATCCGCCTGGGCAACCTGGACACGTGCAAACAAGCATCTCGATCGAGACTTCCTCAACACCTCCTCATTCTAGACATCCGCCTGGGCGACGAGGACGCGTGAAACCAAGCGTCTCGCTCGAGACATCCTCAACCAATCCTGGCGCTTGACCTCTGCCTGGGCAACCTGGAGGCGTGAAACCAAGCGTCTCGCTCGAGACATCCTCAAGACCTGGGCACGTGAAACCAAGCATTTCACCTGAGAGATCCTCTAAATTCTGGCCCCCAGGAGAGGACAAACTATAACACAAAACAAGCGTTTCGCTCGAGACATCCTCAACAAATTCTGGAAAAACAAGCGTTTCGCTAAGGACATCCTCAAATTTTAATTCGCCGGCCCTACGCGACCTCGTTATTTATCGCAAAAGAAATTCGCCGGCCCTACAGCCGTCAAATCTGGGGGCAAACCCCTACATGTTCGACCCACGAACCCGGAAAGGAATATAGAAATGTAACGCATGGCAACGTTTTCAAAGACACCTGATTGGGTGACGGGCGAGTGCAATGCTGATTGTATCGACCTTGATGTACCGTGCCGAGGGCTGTGCTGTGCTGCACCGTGCTGAATTGCGATGTGCCATGCCGCGGTTGTGCTCTATAGCGTCGTGGATCGAGCCCTCCTTTGCAGCCGAGTCCTGACCGAACTGATCTGGATCTTAAGCTCGAGCTGCCTGAACACATAAGTATCTGCCGCAGAGCTAATTGACAGGGGGACATGCCAGGAGGACGCGCCGCGAAACGTCCAAAGGGACGCACCAGGCGACGTGCCAGGGGACGTGCCATGGGGTCGCACCGTAGGACGTGCCAAGGGGACGCGCTACGGAACGTGCCGATGGATGTGCCACGGAATGTGCCAAGGGACGCGCCACGCGACGTGCCAGGGGGACTCGCCAAGGGACGCCCCAGGGAACGTGCCAAGGAACGTGCCAGGTTGCAATGCTGATTGTATCGATCTTGATGTACCGTGCCGAAGTCTGTGCTATGCTGCACCGTGCTGAATTGCGATGTGCCATGCCGCGGTTGTGCTCTATAGCGTCGGGATCGAGCCCTCCTTTGCAGCCGAGTCCTGACCGAACTGATCTGGATCTTAAGCTCGAGCTGCCTGAGCACATAGTATCTGCCGCAGAGCTAATTGACAGGGGGACATGCCAGGAGGACGCGCCGCGGAACGTCTCAAGGGACGCGCCAGGCGACGTGCCAGGGGACGTGCCATGGGGACGCACCCCGGGACGTGCCAAGGGGACGCGCTACGGAACGTAGTGGGGACAAGCGTTTCGCTCGAGACATCCTGTCAAAATCCTCATTCTAGACATCCGCCTGAGCGACCTGGACACGTGAAAACAAACGTTTCGCTCAACACATCCTCAACACATTCTCATGCTAGACATCCGCCTGGCGAACTCGACACGTGAAAACAAGTAGTTCGCTCGAGACATTATCAACACATCTTCATGTGAGAAGTCCGCCTGGGTGACCTGGGCACGTCCAAACAAGCGTTTCGCTCGAGACGTGTTCAACACCTCCTCATTCTAGACGTCCGCCTTGGCGACCTGTACACGTGAAAGCAAACGTCTCGCTCGAGACATCCTCAACACATCTTCATGTTAGACATCCGCCTGGCGACCTGGACACGTGAAAACAAGCGTATCTCTCGAGACATTCTCAACACATCCTCATGCTAGGCATCCGCCTGGGCAACCTGGACACGTGCAAACAAGCATCTCGATCGAGACTTCCTCAGCACCTCCTCATTCTAGACATCCGCCTGGGCGACGAGGACGCGTGAAACCAAGCGTCTCGCTCGAGCCATCCTCAACAAATCCTGGCGCTTGACCTCTGCCTGGGCAACCTGGAGGCGTGAAACCAAGCGTCTCGCTCGAGACATCATCAAGACCTGGGCACGTGAAACCAAGCATTTCACTTGAGAGATCCTCTAAATTCTGGCCCCCAGGAGAGGACAAACTATAACACAAAACAAGCGTTTCGCTCGAGACATCCTCAACTTTTAATTCGCTGGCCCTACGCGACCTCGTTTTTTATCGCAAAAGAAATTCGCCAGCCCTACACCCGTCAGATCCGGGGGCAAACCCTTAAAAGAGAACCCTGGGCCTCAGCCCATTCCGGGAAACAGAGAACCCTAGGCCTATGCCCTTTCCGGGAAAACATGTGTATATATATATATATACACAAGCATATATATACACATATCTATATACGTATGTAAATATGAATAAATAAAGGATGCCTGTGTATACATATATATATATATATAATGAAGTGTTCTTTAAGACATGATCGAACCACGAACCCGGAAAGGAATATAGAAATGTAAGGCATTGCAACATTTCAAAGACACCTGATTGGGCGACGGGCACATGCAATGCTGAATGTATCGATGATGATGTACTGTGCCGAGGGCTGTGCTGTGCTACGCCGTGCTGAACTGCGATGTGCCATGCCGCGATTGTGCTCTATATAGCGTTGGGGATCGAGTCCTCCCTGGCATCGGAGTCCTCACCAAACTGATCTGGAGCGTAAGCTCGAGCTGCCTGAGCAGATGGTAGCTGCCCCAGAACTAATCGACAGAGGGAACATGCCAGGAGGACGCGCCGAGGAACGTCCCAAGGGACGCGCCAGGCGACGTGCCAAGGGACGTGCCATGGGCACGCACCGCGGGACGTGCCAAG